GGCGAGGTGAGCACACTCTGCTCTGTGAAGTGAAAAATTGCAGTCACTTATTTCCTAGGAGATGCTCAGGAGCTCATACACTGGAGCCGTGAGACAAATGAGACTTTCCTGATGCAGTTACATTAATAGACTAAGTACAATAATGAGAAATAAATGGTAAACATAGAAACCACTTTCCTTTAATGGACCTGTTTGGGCTCCTTTGTTTTTGGCTTGGTGAAACCATCATGTCAAGAACTTGGTGTTTCATGTCAGACTGATAGAGAGCTATGTATACCATTGTTTATCCACTACTGTAAGTAGAAAGTGAATATGAGTATGCTCATTTCAGCTCACTTGTACATTTTCCCACTGCTTTTGTGCCTAACATAAATGTGACTTGAGTGAATAATTAAAATAACATCAGTTGAGAGACATTTTTTTTCCTCAGTATGTCTGAGCAAGCTTGCAGCCAGATGAGCAAGCCCTTTCCCCAACCATTTATGAATACTCAAGTCTGTGTGCATTTGAGAATAGATTTCATAAAGAATTAATTCAGAACAGCTGAGTGGAAAGGTGTGCCCTCGAGGTATGTGTTTGCCCTGAATCAAAGACAACATACTGTGTTGTAGACAAGGCACTATTCTATATATAAACAAATATATCTCAGGGCAAAAGGGAGGGAGCAGAAAATGAAAAATAACAAGGAAAATGTTATCTACATATTGCCTACTATAGCAAATAAATGATATTTTTTTTCCCTGTAAGAACGAGTTTGATAAAAACAGGAGAAACTCTGTATTTTTTGAGGAAGGGAAGAAGGTAGAGTTGTTCTCTAATTATCTACCATGCACATCCCATTAAGAGAGCCCAGGAGAGCAACCTCCTTTACTGCACACAGTTATGTATTCCTCCCTCCGTTATCAGAGTCAGCAGCACCCAATTAAATCTCAAAGGCATTTAACCCAGTGAAGTTTTGTTTACTGCTCCATGAGGGTGTTATTCAGAGGAATATTTCCTTTGCAGGAATAACAAGGCATTGGTATTACTGTAGATACGTGGAGTATGTTTGTCTTTAGATCAATCTTCAATTCTAATTTACTGGTAGATGATATTCAGAAGCCTTTGTCAAATGGAGCTGGAAATTGACCTGAGCTGGAAGCTCAGGTCATAAAATGTCATGAAATATACTACTTTATTTGGGGGTAAGGGACTCCTCCCCAACTCTTTCAGGTTTCAAATTCTTGAGAAAACAGATGTTTTATAGTACCTTTAGAATACAGCGTAAAACATTCTTATGTCTCTCTAAGGACAATACGCTGAAATGTTTGGTCTATAGATGTGTAATTGTGAAGCTTGCGTAGATGGGGAGTGTATTATTTCTTCTCTATTAGAGCCCAATAAACAGTAAAATCAATCTCTGTCCAGCAAATATACAAGTTTCTCATTACAAAATAAAAAGATTTACTTCACAATTGGACATGAACAAAGGCAATGCAGACTGACAAAAGTTCCCTGGAAAACAGACAAAACAATAAATCTCCTTTTCTGGGATGTTTCCATGGCAGCAGCAATTTTCTCTTTCTCTCTCTCTCTGATTCAGATGCAATGTTTCCAGTGAATATTTGCTATGAAAACTCAAAACCTTTTCTGAAGATGAGTCCTTAGGACTATGAGAGGAAATCCAGCTGCAGTTTTCCATAAAGAAAATAAGGAAATACAGCCAGCACTTCTCCTCCCATTTACTTCGGCAATAAATAGCACAACTGCAATAAAGTTGCTTTTTTAAAGCCTAAGCCCTTATCCTGTGCAAGGGACTCAAAGCATGAACAACATAAAAAGAAAGGGGGTGAGGAGGAGGGGAATAAAAACAAACAAACTGCAAGCAGTTCTGAGCAAAGATAACGACTGAATGCACATGGAGGTCTAATCAGATTGTCTCTGCATCCAAGGTAACCGTGCATCCTGTATTTTGACACGGCCAAAGTGCCATGCTGATGAGCCGGCACAACTCAGTGCAATCACAGAGACGTTACGCTTCATCGCTTCAGTCTCTGATAACACCGAATAAATGGATCTACAGGTCTACGACACATACATACATTTAGTTATCTCCGCAAACACCAGCTACAGCCCCATCAACTTTCTGCTGTCACTCGTGTTTAACTTAACCTCTTTTTCTCCTTTTTTTTTTTTTTTTTTTTTTTTCTTTCCTATTTCTCCCTAATCTTCACTGAGCCCCAGGATTGGGGCACCCGGCTCCCCGGCCCCCCGGCCCATGCCCGCCCGCAGCCCCTTACCTGCCAGCACCGAGCCGCCGCAGCCGCCGCCGCCTTCAGCACCCGGACAGCGCCCGCTTATACCGCCCTCGGCGCGCCTGACGTCACCGCGCTCCGCTCCGCGCCCCGCCCGAGTGGCAGCGCCCCGCCCATCCGCAGCGCGGGGAGGAACGGGGGTGGGGAACGGGCTGTGCTGGGGCGGGGAGGGGCTGGGGGGGAGAAAAACAAGAACAAGGGGGGGTAAGAAACGTGGGGGGAAAGGGAAAGGAAAGGAAGGATAAAAATGTGGGAAAAGAGAAAGGTGAGGGTGAGAAAAAGGAGGAGGAAAAAGAAGAAAAAAAAAAGAGGAAAAAAATCGACAAATAACAGCGTGAAAAATTAAAGAAAAGGGGGAAAAACAGGAAAAAAAGGGATGGGGAATAAAAAGCGAGATGAGTGCAAAGGTGGGTGCGAGCCACGCTACAAGGACGGGTGCCAGGCAGCCCAGGGTGAAGTTTGGCACGCAGCTACCTCGGTGGGGATTTTATAAGAGCCACCAAGCTGCAGCACGGTTGTGTGGCAGCACAGCATGGGGCAGCAGGTGCAGGCGAGGCCAGCAGTGGCCCCACGGGGACTCTCAGTCCCCAGGCACTGCCTGTGGGTCACAGTGCATTCTCAGCACTGCCTGTGCAAAGGGCAGCACTTGCACGTGTGATCAGTATGGTGAGCAAATACCTCTGCCATAAATCAGGAGGCATGGCATGGAACATATTTCTTCAGCTTAGGCTCATTCCTTTCTGTTCCAGAAAGCGTTTTACCTTGGCTTTTAATGGGTCTCCTTTTCCCCCAGAATAAATCTCTTCTGACAATTTTGACCTTTTGCAGCACAAAATGGAAAAAAATAAAAAAAAAATCAAAAAAAAACACCAACACCCTAAGATGAATGTACCTCCTAAAGCAGTAAATGTTACGAAATTAAACTGACAGAAGAACAGAGAGGTAGAATTCATAGCAGCTGTGTGCACAGCTAACAGGACTGCCCTGGCTGCGTGTGCTGTGGCAGCACTGGAGGTCAGGCAGCCTCTCCTCAGCACACGTGGAGCTACCAGGAAGGTACAGGGCCATCTTCTGTCTGTGCAAAACCCTCAGCACCTGCAGGTGGACGCGGCTGCATTTCTTGGTCTGCTGAGAAAACAGTTCATCGTGAAGAGCAGAAAAACAAAAGAAAGAAGAAAATGTTCAGATTGTCAAGAATTCTGTTGTGCCTCTTCCAATGGACTCTTTTTCATGCATTCCACGACCAAAAGCCCAACCTTTATCGAGCAAGTTCTTTCGCATGAAAATCATCATGCTGTCCCCATCCATCCACCCCGACCTCCTGCGTCGGCACGCGTTTCAGACCACACTGATTAATTGGCACATCAGCACAATTCCTTCCTCTGTTCCTTAACCGCTCACTTGAGATTTGCAGCGTGTGAAGGCAGGCAGATGCTTGGCTTAGCTCTGCTCTGCACAGCTGTTTTGGTTTCAGTGGATAGAATTTACAGAAGGCTATCCATAACTGGGCTGTCAGTTTCATTCCACCTAAAAACCTGAACTTCACAGGGACACTGTGCTGAGGATCAGATTCACATAGGCCTAAAAGGAGGGCCTTAATAAAGGTCCCTTTCTGCTTTTTTTTTTTTTTTTTTTTAATATCGTATTGAGTGCAGCAGTTCTTCCTTTTCCTTGGAATGAGTCATGAAACAGAAAATTTGATCTGTGTTGTCATTAGAAGTTCCATGGCATTTTAAGGAAGAGTAAGATCACATTACGGCATCTCTGAAATTTAGGTAATTGCATTAGAACCAGCTCAGTATCAACCTCTAAGCCATAGGAACTTGGCAATCTTTTTTTTCTGAATTCATTCTGACCATATTGCATCCTCCTGCGTGTCCTGGGAACAGAGCAGTAATAAATGTGGCATTTGCTGTGAGTGGCTTGCCCTGGCTCATGCTCCATCTTACACAGCTGCATGTCATGAGAAGCTAAAAGTTAATCAAACCTGAATTCTGCATGTTCACGATTTCATTCCATTATATGCAAGAACCAAGGCGTTGCAGGAAGGACCATCACTGCAGCCAGTAGAGGCAGGGGGAATCCAGCCCTTCTGTTTTGCCATTCTCATCTTGATATCCATCACCACTACAGCCAATGCAGAAAGAGAAGCCAGGCAGCCTGGAGGAGCTGTGTCAGGAATGCTCCTGGCTGGTGACGAGGTGAGGTGGGCTCAGTGTCCTCATGCTCAGTCCCAGCAGAGGGGTGGGCACAAGGACCCCACTGTTGTTCCTGTTCAGGGACAGTGAGCCTCGCCTCTGTCCAGTCCATGTGAAGGGAAGCAGCAATGAGGATGGCTATAGCCGTGCAGGAATAATGTTGTTGGGCTGTTAGGCCTCTGTTTTCTAAGCCCAGACCACCTTGCACCACTTGCTTCAGCTTCAGCTCTCTTCTCACCTTATTGGTGCCAGCAGACAATCAGTAACTGCTTAAAAATAAAGCAGGGTTTTGTCAATATTGATTTTCCCCCTTCCTCTGTTTCCAGTAGCAACTAAAAATAATTTACAACTCATTTACGTGGCATTTCTTACAAAAGAAGGGCTATGGTCATATTTAGAATTCATCTTTCATCTGACTTGATTACCTGCGTGTATTCTGACTGTAATGAGAATGGGGAGGTTTTCTTCTGTCAGAAAAAAGTTCATCCATCATCACAGATACAGATTCTTTTAAAGGATTTTAATTTTAAAATACTTGACCTCCTCTCGAGTCCAACATTAGACTTGTTATTTCGTGCTTATTTTTCACACTTGGAAAATCAAGCGTATTTTACGCAAATACTTTATGCCTCCCTAAATTTAGTCCATATGCTAAGTGGTTTAAATTTCATAAGCAAAGCTGGAAAGGGAAGATAATGGCATAAGGAAAGTGGGGGCTCTGCAGTGACCCTACCCTGTGGGTGCTGGGGATGCTGAGTGTCTGGAGGGGATAGGAAGACTTGGAGCTGGAGTTGGCCATTGCTTCTAGTGGGAGAGGAGTCAAGAAGCCGCACCAGAGGGAGAGTAGAAGACAGCAAGTGAATCAACAGGGAAAGATCCTACTGCTGTACTTGTTCAGTGCAGCCTCCACTTCGATTACCATGAACGAGAATAGCAACCCACCAACAGATTGAGGCATGTGTGTCTTTTCCTATAGCCGGCACAGTATTTTTATCTGCAGGCCTCTCCCACACACATACTCATGCATTTCCTCCCGTGGAGTTTCAAGGATCTTCACCAGCCTGTGTCATCTGCTTACCAACATTAGCTGTAAAAATACCAGCAGAGCAGGCAGGGTGTTACGTTCAGCAGCCGGTGAAGATCAGGAGTCTGCTGGGAGCCGGCTGGATCAAGCTGTCGTGGTGTCAGCTCTGCGTGCGTCAGCCGGCAGGATTTAAAGTCAAAACACACATAGTGAGGGAGGAAGACAATGAGAAAGTCTGAGTCATACTCTGCTGAGGGTGAAGAGAACAGATTAATAGACAGCAAACATGAATGAAACCAAACGGCTCGTTTTAGTCATGCAGCTCCTTTTTAAGCCCAAAATAGGATTTATTTTTAGTCACTGAGGATGAAAAAAGGTTTTCTTTGCACTTTGCCAAAGAGCACTGAGGGAAGAGTTTTTATTAGTGTGGCCCAGGCTCTGCTTTCCTTGGCACCTGGGAGCCGGCACAGCGCGGTGCTCGGGGTGCAGCACTGCCCCAGCTACGTGTCACCTGCGGGCTTACCGTGCAAGATCACTTACCCAACACCTCCCCATGCTTCAGAGCTGCTGCAAGGAGCCAGGCCTGGCGTAAGGGGATGGGAGTGCGAAGGAGGCAGGGCCTACATATTGTAAGTGGGAGAAGGAAGAGAACACAGCACAGCTCCCACTCACAGCATCCAGGCAGCAGAGGCCACAGCACTGCAGAGCCAGGGCTCCCCAGGGTGAGACACAGTGAGCTCACAGGGTGCTGCTGCTGCAGAGGGACATGATGTGGCCTTGGTGTCTGCTGGCCAAAACGGCCTTTGGTTGGCCATGGGATCTGGCACGAGAGCACACAAAGGGAGTATGCAGGAGTGAACTAAGTTACAGCTACAGCCGTACGCTCACCTGTTTTGTGACTTTTCATTTTAAATAAATGGACAGAAGCAATTTCACAGCTGTGCACAGGGATTAGTTACATTATTTAACCCTTTGCTAAATCATCTCAGCAGTTCTGCTCTATAGAATCTTCACAGTCTTGGGGCTAAGCCATTTCTATCCCTTAATTACATTGAAGCCTCATTAATTTTTGTGTTAATCACTCACAAACATGGAAAAGTTCTGTGATTTTGGATCTCCCTGACTCTGGCAGAACACCTCTTCTTTGTTACCTGTTCACTTGTCTGACAATGCAGGATAGAAACGAGTAGCAAAATTACCACCCATTAACCCTCCTTTTTCTTACTCATTTTATGAGACTCCATCCATCCTCAGAGCATAAAGTCACACAGCTGCACACCCAATAGAGGCAAACATCCTTCCCCCCCAGCCATTAGGGCAACGGATGCTTTGGCAACAGCGGAAGCAAGAATCTATTTGCTAAAGCTATGAGAGCAATAAGCCACACTCTGCTTCCTTGTCATAAAAGGTTATCGCCATTTTCTCTTGCACTGTCTTTGCAAGCAATGTTAGTTTTCGTGGTGCCATTACAGCATTTTTAAGGCCATAGGTCTGTCCTTCTTTGCCTAGTGTGTGCTGTGTAGGTTCCAGCTCCACCGCTACAAAAAGTTATACAGAGCTGGGTCAGAACCAAATATAGCATTTGGTCACGAATGTGACAAAAATAGAAAAAAAAAAATCTGACTGCAAAGCACAGCACAGAGCCGATGGTATAGAATTTCTTCCTGAGGAAAACTTTTACCCAGGAGAGGGCAAATAGATCCCAAACCACCAAATTATCTCACGTGGATAAGGCAGGAACACTTCATGACGTGTCCAGTTATCTGTACATTAATTTAAAGGTTAATTCAAAACAAACTGGAGTGCTCACAGCAAAGAGAGAACATAAATTCACACTATCTCATGTGCTGGCAAGCTAGTACCACCAGCATTAAAGCTGAGGGCTTACATTTTGGGGCTGGGCCATACTGACTTTGCATTTCAGGATATACAGCCAGGGAGAGCCAGCCAGCATCACATCAACTGTGTCCTGGCAGGCAGAACGTCAGCACAGCAAATTTGTCACCTCACAGAAATTCCCTAGTCTGTGAGGGCTTCATGCTGTTACCAGGTGTGCAGGAAGCACGTTCTGAGCAGCAAAGAGGAGCAGACAACTCACCACAGGCATGTCACAAAAGTGCACATGGGCAAGCTACTGCTCCCAACGTGGGATGGGACCCCAGGGATGGGTACAGCTGGAAACCTGGGCACAAAGCACCCCATAACACCTCAGAAATGACGATGTTTAATAATAATCATCAGGAAAATACAGCATTTATCCCTGGTGGTAAACCAGAAATATTTTTTCTGGGCCTCCTCCCCCCTAACACAGCACTGTGAACATTCGGTAAGCGCTTCTTGCTATCACTCGGTCCTGAAACGCTCTCTTGGGCTAGTGATAAGTGCTAGGCAGGCTGCTCTTCCCCAGCAGAAATCAAAACACAAGCATTGCCATCAGTTCTCCAAGCAGGCTGAGAGCTAAATGACAGCTTGTAACACTCCTGCAAGCTGGGAAGAACATTTGCCTTGGACCTCTGTGCTGTTTTAGATAGCAGTCTTGCATTTCTCTCAGCTATCAGAGACTTGACTGGCAAGTAAAATCCATATAATTAGGAGAAAATGCTGCAATTTTCCTCTAGGGAAATCCTGCTTGTGTGCCACACATGGCTGCTAAGTGCCCTCCCAGTCCCAGGTTGCTGCCTTCCTCTTCCGCCAAGCCCCGTGCCACTGCCTGCTCTTAGGCTGGGAGGCAATACAGCACTGGACTGGGAGAGCTCTGTGCTGGGCAGATGACCCATCTTACCTTCCTGTGCTTGTAAGGGGCACGGAGAATCCCAAGAAGGGCAAAGCATGGATCAGGTTTTCCTTGCAGGATCTTGAAGAACGGCAGTGGGACTGCAATGCTCTCCCAGCATCGATGCCTTCTATAATTCAGGGAGAAAAAGGCTACAAAAACAAATAAATTCAAGAAGAGACAAATGCCCAGTGAGAATGCAGCCCTTCCACCATCTCATCCAAATAAGAGTGCAGACAGCTTATGGCTACAGGCATAGCTGGGCACTCCCAGATCGAGACCAAAATAAGTCTCTATGATCAAAGGCAATTTTTCTTGCCTCATAATGGAGGAGTAGCATTTAAAAATGGAATATATAAAAGGGAAGAGGGACAGCATAGTCTCTGTATTAGCAGAGATTAGCACAGCTTCTCCTATAAAATATTAAACCTAAGCAATTTTTCCAATTGAATGCAATGTACTCAAAATGAACAATTTGTGTCCATGTGACAGAAGGCTGGTCATGAAAACAGCTGCTTTGATGCTGGGATAGCAATGCAGATTCAAAAGTAAAATTAAAGAGCCAAACCCAAATCTGCATAATCTCAACCGAAATCTGCAGCATCCTTACTCTGGCAATTTTCTCCTGGATACACTAAAAAATCAAGCATAAATTCTATAGATACTGTATACTCGTGTTTGGCCAGTCAGAATCTGCCAACAAGGCTCTAGCTGCAGGAAATGCACTTCTCCAGCAGGAGTTATTGGCTTCCATCTGAAAGAGCCCTGGCTGAGAATCTTTCACTCTGAGAAAGCCTTCACATTCACACAGGGCATTTGAACTGAGTAGGGAAAACTGACTTTTGCTGCCACAGGCTTCAGTGAACATAAGAACTCAGGTAATACTATTTTGACCTTGCCTGATGGTAGTGACATTGAATTACATGATGCTGCCAGTATCTTCCCCAGTTCTATCCTTATTCCACCTCTTGCAGCTTCAAGACCAAGCAGGTTTCCCAGGTGAGGGACAGCATGCAGGGACAGAGCCAGAGCTGCTCATGGGGGCCAGGCCCTCTCCCTTTCTACACATACTGCTGTAATTTTTCTACCTCTTCTATTTCACTATCCTAGGAAATTGCCTAGTGTGTCCCTTCCTAAAACCCAGTGTTCAGTGATGATCTCTTGAGGGGGAAGGTCTGGGTCAGGTCTGATGGGTTTCCCATCAGACTTCTAGCACCAGATTTTTGGAGCAGTCTTGCAACCCTGTGCTGGAGCCAGCACCCACAGCCATCCCACCAGCAGCAGGTCTGCATGCACAGAGGAGTCTAGAGCCAGGAGCAGCTCACAAACATGAGCTGCATCCCCCAGGGAGTTAGCAGCTACCTTCCAGAAAAGGGCAGGCATCCTGTCATCTCTACCTACCACACTTGGCATGAAGCTAGATCCCATAAAAGTGGCCTGGTTTGCCCAAAATAAATTATTTGTAATTCAAGGCAAAAACAATTTGTTGCAGCTATTTAAAATCAGGTCACAAAGCACTGCAATGAATAACTGTCAGGGTTACCTAGAGCGTGGTTTGCGTGTGCTCCTGCGTAGGTATGTAGTCAACAGGGAGCTTTTTGTCTGCCTGTGGTTTTCCACTAGTACATCTCAAAGCTGAATCAAAAGACCAGATACCATCTGGCACTGGAAATCTTGCCTGATGAACTAAATGGATTATTGACCATGCAGGGAGGTTTTTGTCATCTGTTGCACAGAAGAAATGTGAAGGAAGAACTGCAACCCGAGGAGACATGGTAGACACTGGGAAGAGAAAGAAAGGGCTCGGTTCTCCCGGATGCAGCTGCAGTACACCAGCCAGTGCAGCTGAGAAGATGAATGCTGCTCTGGAGACTACATCTAGCGTATCTGAACTGGAAAAAGCAGATGGTCCAGGGGCTGAGGCAGGAATCTTGAGTCTCGCTTTCAGGATCTGTGCCCAAGGGGTGGGGTGGTAATTAGGCTGATGAACAGTGATATTAAATGTATGAAATGAGACTTACAGTATAAGAGAAATCTTAGGAAAAATAAATTGATGTGAGAAGCATAACAGAGCAAATCCCAGCATAATTAACCTGTAAGGAGCCAGAAATGCAGAACCTGCTCCTAGGATTGAATGCATACACCACGGTCCATACACCACACACATACAAAACATCAGAACATCAGTTTTCCCTGATGTTTATCCATGAAGCAAACAGCCAAATTATAGCCATTTATTTGTTTCTAAAAAGTGTTAAAACAGGAGGATTGGCAGTACATGGTTCAGATGCATAAAACCAAACTCATTCATCTTAATAAAAATCAAAACATGCTTATGTGTTTTGAGAAGTCAGGGTTTGGTGAACGATGGCCTTTAGGTAAGACTTTAAAATACAATTGAATATTCTTAGTTCTAGTTTTATGTTGTTACTTTTGACAGCCGTGGTTCAGAGACTGTACTGACAGCAGCATCAAGACAGCATCAACTTGGAAACAAAAAAGACATGCAGAGGCTTTTCTGTGTCTGTGGCACCAGGCAAAACAAAACAAAACCTCACTCATAATTATTAAAACATTCAATCAGTGCTCTTGCCAAAACTGACACTTTAAGAGAAAGAATCTCAACAACAACAACAAAAAAAAACACCAACAGATAATATCTTTCAGGCACTCAATTCATAAAACAAACATGCAAATTTGATTGCCATGTGGATCATTGAAAGCAACATCTCTGCTGGTACCTACAATTCACTGATAAATGTGGTAATATTTGATAATATTGCTTATTATCTGAAGACTGTTTGACCTACAGAGTAGTTTTTGATTTCATATTTTGCACTGTGCTGATGTAAGCCTTAAATTCGTAAAGCGGTATGAATTTTAATAATGCTGAGCAAGTCTTGCTTGACATATCAGCTGCACTAGCCTAAAAAAGATGGATCATCAGATAACAATGTTTACTTGAACCTACAGAAAAATACACATACAAGGGATTATTTTATTAGGTGCTTGGGGTTTTTTTAGACTTTGAATCCTTTGATAATGAAGATGATGAAATTTCTAGGATGACCCTATGTCTCAGTGAGCTCTCAAGGAATTTCAAGAACAGCAAACCATTTCTTTCCAAAACTTATTTACAAGTGTTGGATGAGCATAGAACTGTCTTGCATTCCCACATACACCTTTCTGCCTTACAGACTATAGACAGCTCTTAAAAACCTGAGGCAGTTATGACATAAAACAGATTCTAATCATAAAATAACATCCTAGAAAGAACCAATTCTTTTTTTCGCTTACTTATGTATATCCACTTCATCGTATAAATGGAATTGGTAGATGTGAATGTAATTAAGAACAAGCATAGCATGTGCATGGACGTGGGGTGGGGGTAGTAAAATCCACATTTCACAGGCCACCTTAATGATGACACTTCATAACACCTAATTTCTCTGCAATCTTAATTCTCTTTTGTCACGTTTTTGTAGTTTTCTCTACTATGTCCAAGAAAATGAAACACTGATTAGGACCAGAAGAATCTGCTGTGAATTATTTATATTCCAGTATTGCTGTTTGCACAAGGATTAAGCCATTACAATAGTCTGAGGGAATACACATCATCTTTTGTGTCATTTCCTCTGGTCTGACTTAATTCAGATTAATGAATAGAACCTATACACCTAAGTAGGAATCTGTCCCACGTTTTCTTCCATGCTGATTGATGGTGCATAGCAGCTTCCTGCTACAATATGTCTTAAGCCTTTCTTAAAAACAGTCCTGAAATACGTAGGTCACTCTGTAAGTACCACCACCTATTCATTTCCATGGAAACAACAATGGACACAAAGAGCACAATAACACTATTTGATAGAGCAAATTCTCATCAGCTTTTTTTTCAACATAGCAGCGATGAACAAGAGTCTGCATCTCATGCTCACCAAAATCAGTACCAGTGGAGATGACCTGCTGTTGCCACTGATGAAAGGTACCATCCACTGCCTCAGTGACACCCCCCTTGCTTCATATGCACTTCCATGTCAGACACCATTTTGTCAAACTGCCCCTCTGCTGCCATCTGTCACACGGCAACAAAATGTAATGGAATACTGGCAGAAAGGTTCAGCCTCTACTGCCATACCACCAACATCTGCCTCTGATGACATGGACTCTCATATTAAAACAGGAGGTATTGCTTTCTGTGCAGCCCTCGTATTTTAAGGAGGTTTGCTCATGACTCAAGAACAGTAAAAAATAAATAAGAAAAAAGAGAACAGCTTCCATCAGAATCAAAGATGCTGCAATTTATGTGATTGGTTAACATTCATGATCTCATAGAAGAGTTTTTCATTATTCCTTTTGTAAAATCTAGATCAGAGGTCCACACCACAAGTGGAGAGAAAAAGACAGCTGACTTGCAAGACTGGAGAATGAAACAGAAATTTCTGAAAGTTAAGTGCTCGCTTTTGTACTGACGTATTGGCAGCAGAGCATTAGTCAGACAGCCAGAGAGTTCTCATTTAATATAAGGATATTTGCATGCACTGCCTGACTACATTTTGATTTGAAGCTAAGCAAGGCAGGATCATTCTCTAATAATTCTCTAAGCGAGTCAGACCGATGCATTCTCCAAAGACTCATGCCTTACGGAAAAATAGCCATGAAATATTAATCATTACCTATTCAGAGCTACGACTGCCACAAACGAATTACCCTCTCGCTCTGAAGCGGCGCCCACAGAACAAAGCTGGTCGCGCCCCCGACTCAGCAGCACCACGGACAGCGCAGCACCGACCGCCCGCTTCTGTAGCGGCGGGTCCCAAAGCGCGGGCAGGGGCGGGATGCCGAGGAGCGCCCGGTGCTCTGCCTGCACACAGACAACTGCCCGACCAGGCAACGCTCCCGTTCCTTGCAAGTGATGAACAAACACCAACAAGAACACAGTGCAGAAGCAGAAAGCACGAGAAGCACGTTTTCATCAGGGCTTGTGTGGAGAACGTGCATACAGCCCTGCTAAAAGACCATCTTGTGTGCTCCGTGTGAATCTGAAAGCTATTCGTTCAGGAATCAGACTCAACGCCCTGTGCTTGCAAGGCCTGTCACTCAGCTGAAATGGCAAATAATGAGAAATAATCTCCCTGAATTGCTTATGGGCGAT